AACATAAAAAAGTATACTGTTTTTTTATAAGCACTTTTTATAAGTACAAAAAGTGATAATTGAAAACACTGTTTTTGTAATTATTGAAACAGTTCATTAAAAAACAACTGATTTTAATTGAAAACACTTTTTATAAGTATGAAACAGTTCATTAATAAAAAACTGTTTTTAATAAACTGGATAAACCATATTTTTTCGAAATTGATTTTTTTATAAAAAGTATAAAAACTGATTTTTATAAAACAGTTTTTATAGCAAAAATGGTAAAGTGTTTTTTTTAAAAAAACAGTTTTATAAAAACAGTTTTATAGAAACTGTTTTTGTAAAAACAGATTTTGGTTTACAGTTTTATAAACTGTTTTAAATAAACTGTTTTTGTAAAAACAGATTTGTAAAAACTGATTTTATAATTATTTAAAAAAGAACAAAACAGTTTTTTTAAATCTGGATATAAGCAGTTTAAAACAACTGTTTTTTAAAAACTGGATATTAAAAACTAATTATTTGTGTAAAAAAACAGTAAAAAACAGTTTTTTGTGTAAAAACTGATTAATTAACATATTTGTTAAAAACTGTTTAATAGAAAAAAGTGTCAAATAACAGTTTTTATAAAAACTGTTTAATAAATAAAACAGTTTATATAAAACAGTTTTTATAAAAACTGTTTTTATAAAAACTGTTTTATATAAAAAAAAGATTTTGTAAAAACTGTTTTTATACAAACTGTTTTAAATGAAAATTTGGTTTACTTAAAAACTGTTTTGACAAAGTATAAAACTGTTATTTAGACTATAAATCCGTTTTTTGTATAAACTCAAAGTATACTGTTTTTCTACAAAACAGTTTTATAAAAACTGTTTTTTATTTAAAAAGTACATAAATAACTTTTTTTATAAACTGTTTTTGAAAAAAAAAAGTATACTATTTTTATAATTTTGTAAAACTGTTTATAAAAATTGTATAAAACTCATGTATCTAAAACATAAAAAAAATGATGGCCTCTCATGTAAACTTTGCAAAAAGTTTAACATGTTACTTACAATTGTAAATGTGTATAAAATATTAAACTGTATATAACTTAAATATGAGGGGTCCAATAATTTGTAATAAACAAATCATATAATTTATCAATGAGTTGACCCAGTCGATCGAAGAATCGACCAGTTGGAGCTTATCAATGAGTTGACCCCGTCAATTCGTTGATAAGCTCCAACCGGTCGATTTTTCTGGCTACGGCTTTAGCCATCGACGGACTCTCCCAAACGCATGTACTTACATTATGTCGCTACATGTGATTTAGCCCATCCATGGTTCAAGTCGTAGCCCGAAAAATCGCCCGGATAGAGCCTATCAATGAATCGACTTGGTCAACTCATTTTATAAGCTCCAACCGGTTGATTCTTCGGTCGACTGTGTCAACTCATTGATAATTATAGGATTTGTTTATTAGCAATTATTGGACCCCTCATATTAAACTTATACACAGTTTAATATGTTATATACATTTTCAATTGATAATACTTATAAAAAAAATTAATCTTCTATTATAATCACACTAACAAAAAACAAAATAAATTAATGTATTTTAGATGACTGATGAACAATCGACATCGGCCGCCCAGCCTAACTTTGCGCCCATGACTGAATCCGAGCGCAACAATGAAGGAGCTGTTTGGGTGACCCCAGCCGAAGTTGCTTTGTAAGTAATTATGAACAAACCATAAGTCAATTAATTTTATATACTGTCAAATAATCTAACCAAATCTCATTTAAATAAATACTCTTAATTTTTTAAAGTGACAAAGCAGTGTTTGAGGTCATAAAAAACATAATAAGAGGACACTTTCTTGGCAATTGGGCCTCCTACTCCGATATTGATCCCAAGGTCCGCGAACTATGGTGGAACCTATTTAAGGTAAAAATAAATGAATAAAGTGTAGTAGTCTAATATATAACAAATGATTAATTAATCCAATTTTTTTAATAAAGGCTCGCTATCGCTGGACTCACGCAAACGGTGCTGATATTCTTAGAGCCTACAATGCTAGGATTTCAACCTGGCTTCGGCCCACTTTTAAGCGTGCCCGAAACCGTGGGAGAAAGCCTAAATGGGTTTCGGATGAAGTGTGGACCAACCTTTGTCGCCACTGGTCTTCGGATCCAAAATTCTTGGCCAGAAGTGAATCCGGTAAGAAAAACCGGATGTCCGAGAAGGCCTTGGAGACGCAGTGGCACGGGGGTCGCAAATCCCAGAATGCCCATAAAGAAGCTCTTGTAAGTGTTATTCAAAAAACCTTACACCATTACGGCCCTTGATTATACAAAATTTTCTTAAGCCTTTTTCACACCATGTAGGCTGGTCCTGAGAAGAAGAAGGTTAATATTCTCAACCTCGTCAAGCATTGCTGGACAAATCACGGCGAGAAGTTTGAAGCCAATCTGCCACCCCGCCTCGCTGACTTCGAAGTATATAACATCATATTTTGTTATTTAGTAACATTTCAAATCTAAGTATGTAATATTTAATTTATTTTTTTAAATGTAGTTGAAGTACAACGAATCCGTTGAAAGGCAGCGTGCGGAGCGAGGCTTGACCCAGGAGGACGAGCTCGATTCCGATGCGGATGATGAGGTGGCCATTGAGGCGGCCGGGGTTTACAAGGGTCGGGTTCCGTGCTTGGAGGCTGAGGGGCAACGGATTTTGTATGATCGAAGCTCCGGCGCTTCCTCTTCTCGGTCAAGGCGGGGAGAAGACTCTCGTATGGCCCAAATGCAGCGTGAACTGGCGGAGCACGAACGACGATGGGAGGAGCAGCGGAAAAGAGAGGAAGAAACAAAAGCCCGGCTAGAGGAGATGGAACGGTTCATGCGTGCCGGATTCCAGCCTCCGCACCAGCCTTTTCCTCCCCCGTACGTATTCCACCCTGAGCAAACTCCTCAAGTTCCGCACATGGGCGGTATGGGTTTTTTCCCCAACTCCAAATACGGTGCGCCTATGATCTCCCCGAATTTCGGATCTATTTCCTTTGATTTTGCGAGTTCATCCGGAGGAGGTAGTGGTACACCAAGCCATGGAGCCCGGGGAGCACCCCGAGGAGGACCCCGAGGAGCACCCCGAGGAGGAACCCGACCCGACCCCGAAGACCCCCCCGTGAACCCAGATGAGTTTCTTGTTGATGATGATGATGAAGAAGAAGAAAATCCTAATTTTTTTCATAATGGAGTCCGACGAACGGACATGTAATCATCATACATTTATACTTTGTTGTATGTCATAACATTTAAAAGTTTGTCACAATATTTATTAAGTTTGTTGTATGTCTTTACTCTTTAAAATGTAATTTTTTCTTAAAAAAAATTAGAATAATATTTTCAATAACAAAATTTTCAAAAAACATTTTTAAATTTAATTTGTAAAAATACGTATAAAAAAAGTAATTTTTAAAAACATTTTTTTAAAAAAAACTGGATTTTTTTTTTTAAAAACAAAAATAGTAGTCACGGCCTTATCCGTGACTACAATCCGAAATTATTATTTGTTTTTAATTAAAAACATTTTTTTAAAAAAAAAATCTTAGTCACGGTCGACAACCGTGACTAATTTCAAAAATTTAGATTACAACCGCGGGCGGTCTTTTGAAATTTTTGAAAATTTGAAAGTTTAGTCACGGTCCACAGCCGTGACTAATATTTATTTAAAAAATAATAATAGTCACGGTCAACAGCCGTGACTAACACGTCGGAGTGGGGTTTCCGGCATGATAATAGTCACGGCCGCCGACCGTGACTAACCCGTGACTACATTTAGTCACGGTTATGTGGCGGTGACTTCATTTAGTCACGCCCATTAAGTCACGGATTTAGTCACGGCTAGCGACCGTGACTACATCTGTTAGTCACGGAAAATTTGAACTGCTGTCCGTGACTAAGTCCGTGACTACGCGCGTGTTTTTTTGTAGTGGGTAAAGCTACCAAGGCTCCAAGAGTACTGCAATCATCACCGCTAGCATGGAATATTAAAGAGTCAATACGTATTATGCTGCTTATTAGTAAATTATTCTACAACATTCATTTCCAAATGTTCTAGAGAACGGTGTGCATGTGTCGTTTAACGCTTGATTTAAGTATCTAGATAATGTGTGTGTATAGTAACTAGAAAGATGTACCAGTGAAGCGCACTTGTGAAAAAAAGATTTAAAAGTACTCATGTAGATATTAACAAGACATTACTAGAAAACATTATGTATGTCTAAAGTATGTTGGAGTTTCCATTTGGTTCTATTTCAACTTCATGAAGGATCAGATCAGAAAATTACGAGCAAAACGAGATATTTAAAACACTATTGATTGAAATCTTTTGATTGACCTTTCATAGCTCTTTTTTTCAAGAAAAAATTAAAATAAGACGGGTAAAAAAACAATTTTTTATAATAAAAATAAACATTATTAGAAAGCAGCAATCACTTTATGAACATCAACGATGATAATATTTGTTGGAGGTATTGGTCTTATCAAGGCCTCCCTTCCATTTTATTAATTAGGCTTGCACCCCATGTTTCCGCACTACTAGGAAGAGAGCCATTACTCATTAGGAAGGAAACAAAATCCTACCAAAAGTATACATATTCCTTTCTAAATTGGTTAGATAGGAACTTACATAGGAACTTGATTCCTCTCTAAAACCTCCCTCTCTAATTTGCAATTCCTTTCTACCTTCCTTTCTAATGTTGTGGCCTGTGGGTCATGGAGAAGTACTGAATCTTTAGGAAGGAAGATATTTCCTTTCCAATTTCCATACTAGGAAGATATTTCCTTTCCAATTTCCATACTCTTATCCTACCAACCGTATTTCATCCTAGAGAGGATATGGTTCCTTTCTAAATTTTTACTTTAATTGGACAGTAAATTAATTATGTAAAATATAATAATTATATAGAGAGGAATTTAATTTCTATCAAACTATATATACGTATACATACATATGTATACATATACATACACACACATCACACCTCCAATACAGTACATTTCCTCCGAAGATCAAATTTTATTTATTCGGAATAATTAAAATTGTAGCTGCATATTTAACTTAACGAGTACAAAATACAATTACGAAGGAAGTCTATTTAACAATACAAAGACTATTACTAACAAAAGGCATCAAGTCTCAAAAGCTACATATATCTGATTACAACTACAAAGACTAAATAAGTTCATCTTCCTCATTGAAGTATCTGATATGTTGAACTTCTCAAAGCAAGTCAGTCATTGCTTCCATTGTTCTTATGTCCTCTTAGAGTTTTGTGACTTTAGTTCTTCATGGGATATTCCTAAAAATGAAATAAAATATTGTAAGAAATTGCAATACTAAATGTTTTCAGTATGAACAACGATGTAAATACCTCACATAGAAACCAATACATGTTGTTCTGTATTCATTTTTTGTGGCAAAGTTATGTCACATGAGTTGATCCCAATTTGATTGTCATGAATAGTACACACCATCTGTAAGGAAAATTGATTTTTTTTACATCATTAACATAATTGTCTCAAATGCTAATACATCACATTTATTCAAAGTGGTGCTGAACAATTGGACTGCAGAAATGATTCCTTCATCACATTACCTTGTTTTTCATTAAGTAAAGGGGCTGTCATAAAAACACTCCTCCAGCAATCTGTAAACACAACAATCATCTCCTAAAGGGACACTGAAAGATATCACGAAGCCTGTAAACACAAAAGGGACAGTGAAAAGGGAACAATTATCACATCAACAGTCCTCTTACAAATTTATACTCTGTATATATACTTTTCAAAAGATGCAATTTATAGAAAATAGGAAAGGTGATTAATTGAAACGAGTATCAAATCTTTTACACACGTACACTTGGGAACAAAAAAAAACAGAAAATGTTGAATACAACTCACTCAAACATCAACATAAAGCGTGCAATTTTCATTTGTATATAATATGCTCACATCTAAGCAAACAGAGGGTCTTTATATCATTTTCTTCAACCCATGGGGATCTCGTATCTCTATTCTCCAGCAAATGGACACAACTTTTCAATGAGAAGAGCAGTCTCATCTTATACATGCAAAAACGACATTGAATAAAAATTCCCTATGAAAATCTGCCAATTTTTGTTTATTGCATACCTTGAACATAAATTTACTCTTAGCACAGAATAAAAATGACAATTCACAATCGATAATGAACCTTTTTGTTTCAATTTCTCCATGTGCATTCTTCCCAAACAACTGATCTCGATACATTTAAGCTTGGTTTTCGAAACCTGATGATTGATTCAACAAATCAGCGAACATATATTCCAGACTTCTGTATACAATGATTGAACGATTTTAGATTTGAGAAAGAAAGCAAACCTTGAAAGTTGGAAGAGCCGAGATGGGTTGCAGTTGCAGCGGCAGAAGTCATTTGTTGGAGCAGAGTCTGGCCGAGATTGGTTGAAGTTGCAGCGGCAGATCTAAGTCACTTGTGGGAGCAAAGTCTGGACGAGACGGAAATAAAACCTAGTGTCCCTGGAGAAATAAATTTTGGGCCTAATAATTGGAGAGGGAAGCATTTGAGAGCCTGAAATTGTGGAGGGAAGTTTCTCAAAAAAAAAAAAAATCAACGGAGGGAGCTAATGAAATTGGGAATTTCTACGGTGCCTTTAAATTAACAAGGTACCGGTACCTTTGAGTATGGTGACCAATCAAATTATTTCCTGAAGCCACGTTAGCATCGTACAAGTATTACTAAATTCTGTTTTATTATTTACATTTCGGCCCCAAGAAAGAAGTAAATAATCAATAGCCTCAATACTAGGTCACTGACGTTACTGCCGTGATTTCCACAAGAAAAGCCAGTCCGCTATTTACCTTTCTAAGGCAAACCCAGAGTCCCAGACGCAGAGAAGGGAATCAAACAGTACTTCGGTGCTTCCAATTTGTGAACAAGGCCCGGCAACGGAAATGATGGTATGTAATCAACTCTCAGACTTGTTTATTTTTTTATATTCTTTTCACGGTTGAAGGATTGTCGACTTAGCGGCGGAACCAGGCCGGGGCGAGCCGCTGTCGGCGCTCCCTTCGCCGGAATCCTGTATATATATCTATTATATCTTCCAGCACCCCTGAAGCTTTTTTCTTTTTTTTTAGTCTGCAGTGCCGGGGGTAAGTCGTCTAATGTATCCACCGAGCTAATGAACGAAGTCATCTCATTTGTGTTTCTAATGTATCTACCGAGCTTTGAGATTTTTTTCAGAACCTGATTCGCTGGTAGGAAGGTGTTTAAATCCAAATATTATCCTGATGGTAATTTCTTAACCTTTAAACTAGGAAATAATCCTTCTTTTGTTTGGCAAGGTATTTTTCAAACACATGATATTATTACGAAGGGCTAATACTGGAGGGTTGGGAGCGGGGCTTCTATTAATGTGTGGTCCGGCCCATGGCTACCGGACTCGGAGTATCCTAAAGTTGTGTCTACTGTGATTCTGGCCTGGGAGCAAATCCGGGTGGAAAATCTACGTCATAGCCCGGGTTTGGGATGGGATTTGGACCTCTTGAATGATTTATTTGAAGCCAGGGATGTGCATCTTATCCCAGGCATCCCGCTCGGTCATCGTTCAATCCCGGATACTCTTTGCTGGAGGTGGGAATCCAATGGCCGGGTTTTTGTGCGGAGTTGCTATCAGCAGCTTGTTGGGGAGTTTGGGGAAGGGGCATGGACGGGCTGGACCTCAATGTGGAATTGGCAACTGCCAAAAATAAAAAACTTCTTCTGGCAGGTGTGCTGTGGTTTCTTGCCAACAATGGAAAATTTGCGGGGTAAAAGAGTGGACTGTGCGGTTAGTTGCGGTCTTTGTGGTGCTGCAGAGGAATCTCCGATGCATCTTTTTGTTCGGTTTTCTGAGGCAATGAAAGCATGGAGTGCAGTGGGCTGGAGGTGGTCAAGAGCATTGGCTGGCAGTTTTCTGGAGCAGGTGGAAGCGGAGTTTCGGGCTAAAAATAAAGAGGATTTGTGTAAGTTGATTTGGGGTTGCTGGGGCTTTTGGTGTGAGCACAACAACCGGGTTTGGAATGGGGGTCGGGTGGAAGCCAGGGCTATTTTGCAGAAAGCAGCAGCTTTCGTTGCTGGATGGGAGAAGGTGCAGCAGTCTGGGGGAGCTCCAACAGCTTCTGTGTGGGGTGGTGCTTCAGTTTGGAGGCGCCCTGCGGTGGGGAGAGTGAAGCTCAATGTTGATGCCACTGTGAGAAGCGTCAAGCAACTGCTACGGTCTGGGGTGGATTCTACGGAACGAGGGGGGAGGGCTTTCTGACCGGGCTTCAAAGTGCTGGCAAGGCAGCTTATCTCCATGGGAAGCCGAATTGATCGGTGTAAGAGAAGCTCTTACTTGGAGTAAACATCAAGGATGTGATTTTGTGGATGTCGAGTCCGACGCTTCTCGGGCTATTTCTGAAGTCCTGGAGGGCTCAAGTGTTTCAGCAGCAAGTTTGGTTCCAGGTGACATTCGAGATATACATTCTTGGTTTACGGACATCTCTTTTCATTATATTCGGCGATCTGCGAACAAAGTGGCACATGCGTTAGCTAAAGCCGCTTGTTCTATGTCTGAGTGTCAGTTTTGGTTGTGTTATCCTCCTAATTTTATAACTAATGTATTGAATGCCGATTTTATTAATGATAATTGAGTTTGATTTTGCCAAAAAAAACAAGTCATCTGATTTATCCGTCGTTCTTGCTGTTGTCGCGGGGAGACTAAAAAATAGAAGAATTTGTACTGCGTGCTGGCTTGCTGCGCCTTCGGTGAAGCTGTGCTCCTCTGTGGTTTACTTTTAATATGTTCTTTTATACAGTATAGTTCAATAAATGTATGTCTAATGTCAAGCTTTCAGATTAACATTTTAAAGCATGTTAAAACTAGTTAATGACTATAAAACTTTGGCGTGTAGCGGTGTAGGTTTGTACATCACTTTGGATGTATGAATTAGGGTAATAAACATAAACACTCAAATAAAGAATCAAAAGCTCATGTACAAGCAGGGGCGGATCTACCTTAGGACCAGTGAGTGAAGATGATATTCTTTTCGTCAGCCAGTCGTCTCATTGCTTTCCAGTCTTGAGACCAAGAGCCAGTGTAAGAAGTCGAATGAAGATTAGAGATAGCAGCCATTGACTCAGATTCAAGAATGAACTCAGAATAACCAGCTGGTACAAACCAGTGCAATGATTTGTTGATGATTTCGAACTCAGCACCAAGAACTGAATCAGTTGAGTAGAGGAAACCAATTGCTAAGATGACCAAGCCTTCTTGATTTCTCATTACAGCTCCTCCTGCTTTTTGAGGTAAAAAAGCTGCATCCACATTAATCTTATACTTAAAAGTAGGCTTAATCCATTTGACCAGAATGAAGCGATGAGAGTATTGTTTGAAATTGGGATATCTAAGAAGTGTTTCATAAAGAATAGCATTGGTCTTCGCCCATTTCTGAGTTTTAAATCTCCAACACCAGTTTCTGAGATAGTTTTTAATTCCGTTTATGATTAAATTGGAAGAGACAGTAAAACGCTCATCATCCCAGACCATCTGAGCATAGCATTTCCATATATGCCGAGAAATAATCCCCGGAAGGCAATGTTTAAACAAGTGAGTCAAATTCTTTTCCCCAGCTTCTAACTACCAAGATATAAAAATATGTCTGATTGAACAATCAAATAAGGAGTAAGGTATTTGTAGAATAACCATAAAATATCTCCAAACCGGTTCAATGATTGAACACTTAAGGAAAATATGCCTCTCAGAAGCTGAATTCTGCGTACAAAACGGGCAGATGGAAGGGAAAATATAAATTTGAAATCTGGAGAGATATTCTGGGATAGGAATAATTTTGTGAATGAGGTTCCATTGGAATAACTTAATTGATAAATGTTGTCTATTGTTCCAAATATGTTTGGAAGTGAAAGTTGGAAGGTCTGAGGCCTCAGGTATCCGAATAAGCTTCCCTGAAATGTCTGAAGTGGTCAGATCAGTTCCTAAATTGTTAGCAGAGCAAAGTCTTCTCCAATGGGGGGAATCATACATCTTAGGAATCATATTAGAGTTGGGGTACTTCGAATGTATAATCTGCAATCCAGAATATAAAGAAGACATACATTTCATTGACCCCTTTCTCTATGAACTGCAAATTATACTTGTACTTTAATCATAAAAATCAAGAAAGTAGTCCAGATTCACAGCATAATCCATAAGTCCATAACGAAGATCAAAAGTTGCAGCACACCAGAGATAGATTTCCGAACTCACTGGGGTCTCACACAGCTCAAAATACCACGTGAAACTGGGGGGGAGGGGGGGGGGGGAGGATGAACTCGCCGGAAGAATCTCCCAACGGCAGGGCTCCAGCTCATCGGAAACGGGGTAGTAACCGGATATCGTTACCTTGTCGGCAGAAGAGGAGACGGAACCGAACTAAAAAATAGTAACCTCCGGCAGAGATAGGGGTTTAGAAACTTCCACGGCTCCGTTCGTGCCGGGTGCCTCCTGCTTTTGGTAAGATAAGAAGAAGAAAATTGAATTCGAATCGGGGTTCGTTTTCGAGGGAGAATCCCCATGGTTGTTGCCCTCCACAGCTTGTTTACAAATTGAAAGCACCAAAGCCCTTTCTCTTCGTCCGCACCTAGTTAATGTTGGCGTCGGTTTCATCGTTGGGCTTTTCTGTGGAACTTCCGGAATCCGGAAATAACAGAGGTGTGACGGTAAATTACATCGTACAGCCGGCTGTACCGTGCGCACGGTACAGCCGGACTTTTTGTTCTCTGCGCAGCACAGGTCGTCGTCTCCAGCAGGCTTCCCTCGCACCATCTCCATCTCTTCTTCGTCCTCGAGAGGCTTCGCGCATTGTATGGTCATCGTTCCCAGCTCGCGCGGTTCGTGGCTTCCTCGCCACAGGGATTCGCTGAGCTCGCCTCTTGGCCGGATCTGTGATGATGGAGCTCTCAACTGATGTCTATGGTGGATTTCGCGATTGACGGGGATGAAAGGGCATCTCAACCCTAGATTTGGCTCCTGTTTCTCCTTTTCTTCGTTTTCTGATGGAGTATAATCGTAGTCTTACTGATGAGTATACACAAATAAAAAGTTGAGTATAGTGGAGATTTTAATGAGTTTTTTTAAATTGTCCGATACTCATTTCGTAATTCGTGTATGCTCATTTCGTATTGGTGTAAACTCATTTTAAAATGTCATATTCATGCATTTTTCAAAAGTATAATATTACATCAAATTCATATATTAGATTCATATAGATTCAAATTCAATGCCCTAAATCAATGAGCAAACACAAATGAACTTTTGAATTTTTGATACTCATTTTGTACTCATTAAAAATGAGTTTTATATAAATCTCAGATGAGTATACGCCTCAAAGAAATGAACATACACAATTGAATATTAAACACATTAAAAATGTGTTTTTTTTGTTAAACTTAAATGAGTATAACGTCCAAAATCAATGAGCATACACAAATAAGCTTTTGAATTTTTGGATACCCATTTTGTAAATTATGTATGCTCATTTGGTACTGCTTTATGCTCAATTTAAAATGATGCTCATATCAAATATAACGCCCAAAATTAATGAGCATACACAAATGAAGTTTTGATTTTTTTGATACTCATTTTGTAAATTATATATGCTCATTTGATACTGGTTTATGCTCATTTTAAAATGATGCACATATCAAACATATCATACTACATTAGATTGACATATTGAAATTAATTTTAAACACAATTTAAGAATTTTTTATAAACGAAAATTAATAAAAAGAAACTGAATTAGAAGATATGAAGCAGGGATCACTGGTGCTCATTGTTAGACTCCTAATACTCAGAAGAACAAACTCGATGCTCATCCAACTTGCATCAATGCTCATATAAGAGAATTCATGAAGTTCATCAAATTTACAAAAAATGCCACCGGCTGTACGGTGCCAGCCGTACAGCCGGCTGCATGGTATACGCGTCCGAGGTGTGACGGAGTTTTTGCGGTTAACAACATTAGATAATTTCACTTCTTTATTAGGTTTTAAAATGTAAATAATAAAACTTAGTTTAGTAAAATGACAGGATGCTAACGTGGATTCCTAGTGCAACGTGATTGGTCGAAATGTAAAGGTACCGGTACATTGTTTATTTTCATAGGCACCATAGAAGAACCCAGTGAAATTTTAGGAGGGAGGAGAAATTTTGGGAATTAGTTAGGAGGGAGCGGAAATATTTCGACAATCGGTTCCAATTTTTTTAATACTTTTAATTAATTATACATTTTCTAATATATGTCAAGTTGGAATTGATCTGATTTGATTTAAACATTTTTAATCTGATCTAATTTTGATCTTTCTAATGTGATCTAAAGATGTTTTTACATGGATTGTAACTTGTTGGTCTTCTTCTTCTTCTGTGAATCCATTATCATCGTTATAATTTAAATTTATTCTATCTGGTTTTCAATCATATGATTACTTTTGAATTATTTTTTCCTTAAACTGATCTCGTGTCCTTATCAATATATTCTTTATCATTTTAATCATTTTTAAAAAAAAAATATAGAATACTTTCATAACTTATTATGTGTCCTTTGTTTTCTCGTTATAACACTCGACTTTGCACATTTGCCAATAACATATTTTTGACTGTAAACATATCTTTTTCCTAATTAGCAAAAAGAAAATAAAAATAGATTTTGAAATTTGTAATGAGACAAACTGAATAATATTTTTTTTAAAATAAACATTTTCTTGGATTAATAACAAAATGTACTCAAAGTAGAGTATGTGAATAGTGTAAAATTTAACATGTTGCAACTAAAAAACGGAGTATTGTATTTAATTATGAACACAGCTGAAATATTTGGAATGCACAAAAATGAAAATCTATTAATATATAAAGGAACACTTTTTTTGTGAACAGTGTTCCCGCCTATATATGTCAACTTCAATCCCTTATTTGTTTATTAGTTAAAATAAATTCAAAATAAATATAGTTTAAAGATATTTACGTCACTCAAGTCAGCAATTATTTGTGAGTAAACAATTTCAATTGGTCCAAATGGGAGGTGCGCTCAGATGAACAAGTTTCGTGAATTGAGACCAAGTTATTGTTTAAATTAATTTAATCCTATTGGTGGGATTGGGTGGTGGGAACAGTGGGATTGGTGGTGGGAACAGAGAATGAAATTACTTTAATCCTATTGGTGGGATTGGGTGGTGGGAACAGTGGGATTGGTGGTGGGAAGTGGGAACAGTGAATGAGATTGAGATTGAGATTGAGTGTATCTCATTCCCATTGTGAAACATGGTAACGTTCAGCTATAAAAGCAGAATTGTCCATTACACTTCTCACAAATTGCACACCATACTTCTTCCTTTCCTGAAATTGAGATTGAAATTTTGATTAGTCAATGTGAAAGCTCATCACCTATTGTATTTTGCAACCAGGTTTACAAATGAAAATCTCAATAAAAATATAGGTATGCGGCAAGTTATTATCAAGCTATTATCATGATGGTGAGGTTCTACATGTTATACATTCTATTATGTTAATTTTTTCGTGGCTCTCATGGCTATCAGTTCCATACTGTTACAATTTTTTATAGCATGTATTCATGTTCAAATCTTTAATGCATATAATGATATAGAGTATGTGTTTGTTTTGACCCTAATTCCTATAAATTTTGCAGAAAACAATGATCTACTCACATCTTCACGAACAATCATTACTAAATTTCAGGGTGTGTTAAATTGCAGAAATCCTAAAGTCACACTCTACAACCACCATCCTACAAAGTTCATTCCACTTCAATTTGGGATGGTTGACTAACACACAAAATTAGTCCATCTCATTTTACAAGTATTTGTATGTTAGCTACACATATTCATTTGCCCAATGTTTAGTTTTTGTTGGCTAATGAATGGGCTTTACTGTGTAAATATTGATAATACTTTTGCAGTGTATTAATGTGTTTCTTTCTCATTACCAATAGTGGTTTTCGTTTTCACCCTTATGTCTTCCTACACCAGACACGCATCAATGAATGGATAATTTGTTTACATTACTAGATTATTCATCAAAATCATATGTTTTACAATACGTTTTTAATTCAAGCACACATGGATACATATGGATACATACTGTAAAAAAAATAGTAGCTCAATCATCATTTACACAACAACATAGAAATGGGGAAAAACTGTCAATTTGGTACTCGTACTTTCATGAAAAAGTCAATTAGGTCCTCATACTTTTAAAAAGATCAATCAAGTCCCCAAACTTTGTAAAAACGTTCAATTGAGTCCATTTGCAGGTTACTTGCCATGTCAGCATGTCGCCCGCTGACGTGGGGCGCATGTGGCAGCCCAATCAGCAATAATTTTGCTGAGGTGACACACATGTGGAAGCCCAATCAGGTATTTGTTAATGACAATTAACCTGAATCGGATTCAATTGAACGTTTTTACAAAGTTCGGGGACTTGATTGATCTTTTTAAAAGTACGAGGACCTAATTGACTTTTTTATGAAAGTACGATGATCAAATTGACAGTTTTCCCTAGAAATGGACTTAAAGTTTATATATAAATAAATTTGTTATAACTCATAACTGGATTATAAAAAAATATAATATTTCAAAACTCATAAATAGCATGGTTGGATTCATTCCATAATTTCATCCACATGTTCAATGCAGTCATTAATACATTTAGAAAATAAGATCAATTCGTTTCTTTGATTATATAAATTATGTTCAAAATATATAGCCAATAATTCACTTTTGGTCATTATCAGGTTGTATACACAAAAGTTATGCACATGTGCACACATCTCCTTTTATTTGTGATTCTAAACGACAAGTTTTACAAATTGTCTTCAAATCATTTAATAAACTCATTTTGAAAATAATGAACTACTAAAATCTTTTCTCTTAAACAAATTTGGGTAATTAAATCCCAGATAGATGCAGTGATTACCTGTTTTCCTTAAATGTTGATCTATATCTTTGTATTCATATGTTATTATGTTTGTTGGACAGCTTAATCACTACAACACATTGCATTTTTCAAGTGAATCTCCACGGAGGTAGGTTTTGTCCTAAAGCTTCCTGCAGCCAATTTTATGTAATTAGAGATTAAATCAAGTACAGTACCTTTTTTTTATCAAAATTAATCACCAGTTGAAATACCATAGCATAAAATACCTTCTTTCAGATCGAAACAAATGCAAAACGGTAAAGGATGGTGTGTTTCTATGATTTCCAACTCACATATCAAATATAAAGTTTATCATACTAAAAACTGAAATAAACAACACAAATCACAAATACCTCCTTTTAGATCCAAACAAATGCCAAACGGTGAATGACAATATGGTCTTAACGATTTCCGACTCATAAATTACATGCACACAAATATACGTTTCAAGTTAGTGTTAGTATGTAGTCATATATATATATATATATATATATATATATATATAATAAAGTATATAAAACTAAAATCTTGAAGTCTCTTTAAGAAATAGTATAAAATAACTCCTTTCAGATCTATGTAAATGCAAATCGGTGAACAATTTTTTGTTCTCTACGATTTTCAAGCTCTAAAATTAGATGCACAACTATATCTTTGTCAAATCAGTTTTTCAAATGCTCGGATTTTAGGAATATGAAATAAAATGGAAAAGATAGACATATTTTGTGTCATTACCGCTGGAATAGATGTATGTTTTCTAGCAGTCGCCGGTTGAGCACAATACCACTTGACGAACCGAGCGATTTGATTTCTTCTGTTTGCGGTGTTGTTGGAAGCTTCACTACGAAAGGCCGGTGAAGGTGTTCTGTGGCTTGCGGACTCTAGCGGAATAGAGGCGGTGGTGACTGGTGAGTAAGAGAAGCTGGGTCGGTGGGTTGATTTTTGGGTGGTAGTCGAGAAGATTGAAAGAGATAGAGTGAGGAGATAAATGAATTAATTACTCCGGTAAAATTTACTTAAAGTTCACAGTTTGACTTCACATTGATTAAGGAAATAAATTTGACTTTATTGTAGAGTACA